TGCACTGGTCTCTTTCCTAACCCACACTGGCAAGTGTGAGCACAGGAGGCTGAGGGAAACAAGGTAGTAGCTGCAGGAAAACACCAGTGCACAGAGCTTGCAGGGCTCACAGGATGGCTATTGGGGGGTAATCACCATGTCACTTTCCAGTGAGAACCAAGAGGAGAGAGTCAGAGAGAGAGAGAGAGAGAGAGAGAGACAGAGACAGAGACAGAGAGAGAGAGAGGTGTAAGGGATAGGGAAGGAGGGAGGGAGAGGGTCCTCTCATGTGGAGCAGTAAATAGGGGATGTACTCCAAACTGAGTCTTCAAAGTGCATTAAATATGCTCCAGGCAAACAATAGCTCTCTTGTATGTAAAGTATACCCAGATAAATGAAATCCAGCCATGTTGGGTGACCTCCTAAACACTGATCCCTTTGCTTTCCAGTACTGTTTTCCAAATTGTCTTGCATACATGCCTCTCTGAATTAGCAGCACAGGAATCTAAGGTACTGATGAGCTGACTTCTTCCAAAACTAGCTCATACAGGGAGTTATTAGTCTACTGTGGCTTATTATACATTTTTACATATTTGTAATTTTTAGACATTTATTATTTTCCCCCTTAAGCTTGCTAGGTTTACTTTAGTTATTATTTCAATCAGCTTAAGGGCCATGTCAACAAATGATCCGAAGCAGCATATTTGAATTTAATTCCTGGCTGGCATACCTGTCTGCTTTTCCACTAATTAATATCACATTGCCAAGGAGGACAGAGTCTCTAATTTGATGGGAGAAGTTTACTGATGGGATAAACAAGACAAAGCTCCCCTACAGGGATGCCCAGTCCTCTGAGGCAGAACCAAACCTAATTGTCCAGGATGAGGGTTCTGGCTTTCCTTTCGTCGTGTTCTAAAGCCTCCTTTGCCTCCAGAAAATGCAAATGAAAATAACAGGTGTTGGGTGTCAAGTAGAAGCTAAGAATGCCGCGGACTAATCCACGTTGAAGCTGAATTCCCGGAATGGTCTGGGAGGGAGGAGGAAGGTGAGCTGGAAGAGGGTGAAACCAGAAGCCAGCAAGAGCGAGACAGACTGTGCCTGTGACAAGAACCCTTCCCTAGGTACCCACAATGCTCAATTCAGATCTTCCCAGTGCCTGAAGGAGACAGCTGATGGAGACCAAGGACGAGGAACTAGCCAGCACATCTTCATTTGGGGAAATCGGGGCTAACACGTGCAAACACGTGCAAGCCTGGACTCCAAAGCCTGGGAACTTGGGTTTGAGCAAAATGTAATCCAACCTCCGAGGAATGATGATCTACTGGGTAACATTTTTGGTTCAAGAACAAGTGATGATAGTCCTACTAGATCTTATAAAAACAGGGAACAAAGATTCCAGCCCCTCTTTGTAGAAGACATGCTGAGCCCCATAGAAGTACAAGAGATCTGTCCTGTGACTTAGACCTTAAGGAGAAATATTTGGAGCCAACTGGACACTTCCCTGACACTAATCCCGTGTTTAATGCTAAAAGAGACATGGTAAATTGAGTGAGTTTTTAGATCCAAGTTGCTCGATTACAAGAAATTCTAACCTCACAGCTGCCTCTTCGCTCTTCCTTGCCTCTCAACACTTACTTGTCCTGAGTATGTTCGATTTTAGCCTTACACATACACACACATGCATACACATGCACACACACATACACACATGCATACACATGCACACACACATGCACGCACCCACACATGCATACACATGCACACACACATGCACGCACCCACACATGCATGCACACACACAATAGTTATAATGCAATGAAAGTGAAATTATACTAAAAATATAAAGCCATGACTCCTTTTCTGTTCACACGGATGGACTGGAAAACCACTGTGACTGAGGAAGGGGCGAGCACTATTTCAGCTAAATGACCTCCTTGTCATCAGCACTCATCTCTGTGAGAAAACCATGTCACCTCCTACCCTTCGGGATTCGGCCATCCAGTTGAGTAGCAGTAGCTGATGTGATTGTAAGAGCCTTGAGTGTTCTTTTAGATGAGCGTTCTCAAGAGAATATGGTTTTAAAAGAAATGAAAGTAACCAATCAGCCAGAGAAGTCAGTCCAGCCTACAGGCAGTGTAAATATAGAAGTGGATGATATTCCAGGGATCGTCTTCACATTTCCTCTCTAGCAGAGAAAACCCTTTCAGTCAGATGTCCCCTGCTGTTTTACTTTATTACTGTCTATGGAATGTCCATGGTGTCTAGAAATAAGAAAAAGATGGATAAGCTGTCTGACAACCTTAGTACTAGCTCTCTCTCTCTCTCTCTCTCTCTCTCTCTCTCTCTCTCTCTCTCTCTCTGATGCATGCACACATCCACTTGTAACTCAGATCCAGAGGATCTAGAGCCCTCTTCTGGCCTCTGTGGGCACAGGCACTCACATGGTGCACACATGGACATACACGCAAACAGTCATACACATAAAGTAGAATTTTAAAATGCCAAGAAAACTCAGAACCCCTTTAGAATGCCATTTAGAAGCTCGCAGTTGGTGCCTTAAATTTTCCCCAGTGGCAACAAAATAAATCCAGGGAATTTTTCTTAAAGAGCTTGTTAGAAAACTGTGACTGTTTTTCTAGAGATGCTTATTTTAAACAACTTGAGTATTCAGCAGTGTGGAATTCAGTAAAAGATTGGTCAGACCTGACTTTGATAGAGGCTAATCAACTCATAAGGCAATCATGAATGCCCTGTAGAAACAAATCCATAAAACCTCTTAACAATATCCTATGGGACAGGCTGATAGCTGCTTAGAAATATGTAAGGCTGAGGAAAAAGAGCCTATGGATACAGGACAGCATGAAATGAATTCCCACAGAGGAAGGGTGTGAGTCCAGTTTCTCAGTTTCATCTTCTGTTAAAGGTTCTTTTTAGCAACATGAACAAGAGAAAGAGAGAGTCCAACGCTCAGTCCCTTGGGGTTCATATATCGAGGAAAACATTACACAGCCACCTAAGCAATATTTTTCTTCCCCACTTCAAATCTCAGCATGAGTTTTTCCCGGATCCGGGCTTTAACTTTGTTTTGTTTTAATGTCTCTGGCTACCATGGTTCTATGAAAGTCAAACAGAGTTTACATTGTTCCCGCAGCATCCTCTCTGCCTCACGCCATGAGTTATGACACTAGAGCATCCTGCCGCCGGGTCTTTGAAGGCAGACCCGGTAGCTCTATACTGTTTGTGTAGCCACAATGATGGTCCTCGTTCAGGGTGAATTCTGCTTCCAAGTTCTTGCCTTTTGTTATGTCCAAATGTCTTATTAAAACTTTCCCATACTGTCCTTCATTATTGGAAGTCAATAATTTTGTCATCTTACCAAAGGAAGGGCAAGAGTTACAGTTGTGTGGCTTTCTGCAGGAAGCAGAATTTCTCCCAGCAGGTCACAACATTAGAGGTTACACCGCAGAACAAGAGCTAAATGCTTCCTGCTAGGAGAAAGACACCGCAAGCTCCATGGGCCTGAGTTATCTGGTAGCCACACACACATACCCTTCTGTAGGTTATATTTTCCTCGGGTTTCTATGCCGTCTGGAAAGTCACTTGTAGATGGGATATATGAATCAAATGATGAAGAGAATATAAATCAATCTCTTTCCTCTCCCCCCCGCCTCCACCCAGTCTCTTAGGTCAGGCTAGTACAAATCTTGACTGTTTTCTATAAGTCTAGACAGAGTGTTAAGATAAAAATAAAACTTGCCTCATAGAAGTTTGTAATAATTGAGTTAATGAATGGAAGGTTGTGGCTATTAAAAAATACCACTTTACGGCCAGTGAGAAAGTTCAACAGGTACGGGTAAGTCCCACTAAGTCTGATGACCTGAGCTTGATACCTGGAACTCACATAAGGAGAGATCCAATTCCCTCAAGCTGTCCTCTGACTTCTACATATTTGCACATGCATACACACATACAACGAGATAAAATGTAGAAGTATTTATTTTTAATGTTATTAATGTATGTGAATCTGAAAAAACACAAAAATGACCACAGTTTACTTAGGAAACAGTCTTCAAAATCAGTTAAATTTGTAGTGAACCCAAAACTGCTCTTAAAATAAACACCGTCTTTAAGAAGTCAGCTAAGAAACAACTTTACTTTTCTCCATGTAAAGAAGAAAGCTGCCTGGAAGTCAATCACATAGTGAAGGACACTGGGAAATGTTCCATAGATGAAAATTGAGTTCTGATGGATGGAAGTATGAGCCACATGGGAGCATCAGAAGGGGCGCAGTGTCTTGTTTCTGGGCACTTCACAGGGATTGGATTCTTTTGTTCTTGTTTCATTTTTGTTTCCCTTTTTGGAACACAATCACTGGTTCAGAAGGATACTATATCCTGCCATCCCCCTAAAAGAGAGCCGTTTTCTAGCCCAACAGCCCTTACTTTTCTCAGTACAACCGTGAGGAGTGAGTCTGGTTGTTTTAATTACTTTCATAACACCATTGTAAAACGACTTTTAAAAGCCTTTTTAATTTCTGCTTTTTTGTCAAATGTGTATTGGCAGATTAGGTAAGTGTTAAGAATATGTATTTTCAAAATAGACATCTGTAAATGCTACTTTAATAAGAAAAATCTAATGATTTAGTCTTTATTTCATTGAACTGATAGGTCTCTTTAAAGTTCTCCACCAAGAGAGTTTATCATTGCCAAGTGACCCTTATTCTTTAAACAAGTACAAATTGGATGAGACCCAGAACCATATTATCTATTAGCCCCATAGATAACTCACTTCAACTTTCTGAATGATGAAAAGATACACACATACACACACACACGAAATAACCCAATTAAATACTTTGTTCTCAAGTATGTAAAAATTTGGACCACACTGGGACTAATTATTTTAATAGTTCCTTAACTCTGTTTTTCTGGCACATTCTAGGATGGCCAACTCCTCTCATTATCTCTACAGTGTGCTAGGTTGGCTTGTGTTGCTTAGTAATGTGTGCCTTCTCTTTTGAGGGTGAGCCTGGATCACCTGGAGAAGCAGGGCAGAGTGGACTCCCAGGACCAAAGGTTGGTACAGATAAAACCAAGCACCGTCACCCACTGCATGGTTTCCAAACAGTGTTAAGCTGTCACAGTCTGTTAAGTTATTTTTCTGGCTGTAGTTGGGTAGACCTTTTTGTCATGGGTATAAAATGCGGTCTTAGAACTTTATAACTAAGGACTAAATTATGCTCATGATTGTCAGTACCATTAGACACACAGAAAGGAAATGGGATGTGATTGTCTAAAATCTTTCTTGTGGGGCTGGAAAGATGGCTAAGCAGATAAGAGTACCTATTGCACTTTCAGAGGACCAGAGTTCAATTCTTGATACCCAATAATAGCTCACAGCCCTCCATAAGAAACTCCAGTCCCGGAAGGTGCATGCTGTCTTCTGGCCTCCAAGGAAACCACACACGGTACAGGTACACAGATACACACACATGCAAGGAAAACACCCGTAATATAATTTAAAAGATATTTCTTGTGGGATAATTAAATAGCACAAGAAAGTGCTATCATTTTACCCCTTAGTAAGTTGCAAAAACAAAGGTCATGGTCATACTTCCTCAAATGTACATGTTAGCAAGCCCCACTACAGATAATGTTCATACAGCCAAGACAGCTTTTTTTCAAGGTTTAGCCACCGTCAGCTTCTATACAACATGCCCAGTTAGTCAGACGAAGAACAGAGTAAAGACGTGGTGTGTTTAGAATTTAAAAATGGATATAGTTGGAATTACTAAATAGGGAAAAAATGTAATGAGGATTTTTTTTTGATTGCCTGTTTTCTTGGTTTCTTGAAGAACAAATGAATCCGTTAAATCAAAAGAGATTGGTGACAGTTTAGTTTAAACCAAGCAGGCAGACAAATCCCAAATCCTTTGATGAGTGAACACCCCCTTGAGGTACAAAACTGATGTCTAAGCCCATCAACTGTGCTGGTGTGAGTCTGTACCCACCAGATGTCTGTCAACTGATTTTGCATGGTGCGCTGCTGTTTAGGTGCTGTGGAAAGACCTAAAACTCATGGACCTGCCTTTTTTTTTCTTGTCCTAAAGAAGAAGGAAAGTATTCCTCATGGAAATCCAGCCCTCTTCTGTCTTCTTACCTTTCTTACACTTCACTAAAAAGCTCAGCGGTGGGAGGTAGTTCTGAATGAACATCCATAGTTCTCTTCCTGTGTTGCCTGGCAATGCGGCCACCAGGACGAATGTTGAGGGGTGAAGGTGCCCAGCAATGTAGAAAGCCAAGGGGTCAGGTTGATTCCAGAGAATGGAAAGAACTTTGTCTCCAAACTGACTTCTAAATTGAATTCTCTTACTTTGGTTTTCTTCTTTCCCACAATAACCTCCTTAAAACACTGTAAGCTGTCTGGTCTCATGGCAACGTTTACTCAAGCTCCCCATCAGGAAATAGCATCATAAGGTGTATGGACTTTAGAGCATCCCCTATCTGCCCCTGCCCTTTCATAGAGAGAGGGAAAAATGCAATTCTTTTCTGAGAATAGTTTCATATTTTAAGCCTTATGCTTTCTGGCAGAAGACTGCTCCATTCTGCTATCTTGGTCAGCACCACTAGTTGCTACCAGTTACAGAACTGATGATCTTGTCAAGGGGTCTAAGTTCTGCACTGAGGGTTTATGATCATGTCCAAGGAGTGCAGAACTGTACCAGGGCTCGCCCTGAAATAACCATGCCCCCGGACATGCTTTAATAGACAGCTTTATGGAAGGACATGCTAACACCCACCTCATTGACTTTGAGTATAGACAGATATTGAGTTGCCACACTGCAATGTCCCAGGCCATTCCTGGGTGACATTTTCTACTGCATATATCATTATCCTTATAGAAGTAATGACTTAAGATTAAAGTTAGCATTGGTATCTGTACTCAATTCTTCTGGATACTTATGCTACTTGTTTTCATATAGAAACTAAAGCCAAAGAGAGTGCCCTTTATACTTCACCTTGTGCAGTCTGTGTAAGGTTAGGATCTGCATTGTTGGCTGTTGCTTTATTAGCTCTTCATTGATATCTCCCAATCTCTGTTTTGTGCTCAGGGAGAACCTGGAAAAGAAGGAGAAAAGGTAAGGATGGTTCTGCTTTGTTTATTACTCCCCTCTTCTCCTGAGCTACACCCAAGCTGAACTAAATGCCTGAGAGGCTGGATGGTGGGTGGATGGACAGATCGTTGTAAGTGGAGATGGGGAAAGAGGTAATAAGTGTCCGTTTGCCTGTCTTTCAGACTGTCAAATAGTGGAAAGAGAAAATATGATTTTTATCTTCTGTATCAATTTTGAGTTTGGGGTTGGAAGGAAGAAGGGAAGGGCAAACACTGCATGCCAGGCTGTATAGTGGCTTTCAGAAACCCCTAGCCCTGTAAAAGCCCATTCTGCTAGGCAGTGGTGGGACACACCTTTAATCTCAGAATTATGGGAAGCAGAGGCAGGCAGATCTCAGTGAGTTCAAGGCCAGCCTGGTCTACAGAGCAAGGACAGACTCTGAGCTACACAGAGAAATCCTATCTCGAAACCCACCCCCCCCCCAAAAAAAAAGAAAGAAAGAAAATCATTCTGTATACTTGCTAAGGCCATTCTAATGCCTTCCTAAACATCCACAACTGTCTTCTGCTGCTGCTCCTGCTGCTGAGGACTCTGGGTCAAAGGTCAAGGGATACAGATGTTTACCTGCAGAAGTTGTCTAATAGAGACCCCATAAAGAATCGCCATCAAAACCAGAAACGGCAGCGAGCAGAGAGTCGGGGTTGCATATTAACCCCTTTTAGCTGCCTCCGGTATTCCTTGCAGGCCCGTCTCCACAGTGTTCAGTCTCCCACTGCGAACGGCACTGTTTATATTTCAGGTGCCCTCTGCTAACTGCTGTGGTGTTTGGCCATGTCTCTGAGTGGAGCGCTACCTAGATACTATGACACATCCTGGCAGTCTCCTCCCTAACAGCATAACCCTGCTTGCAAAAGAAGTTCAACAAAAGATCAGGAAAAACAGTCCTCAATGTACCAGTATTTTTTTCAGACGTGTAAAGCAGAAAGAAGGCAATATTAAGTTGGAAGAGCAAAATAGGGGTTTAAAGGCTCTCCGTGAAGAGACGGTCAAGCTCTTTACTTCACAGCCACTCTGAACCCTCTGAGCCAGGTTTCCCAACAAGGAGACTGGCATGTTAAAGGGGTTTCCAAGCCAATTTCTAAAAAGCCTAGGAGTAAGCTGTCTATCAACCCTGCCTTGGAGTATGCACTGTGACGCAGTGTGCTTTGGAGTATCAAATCAGTTCACGGTAGCTAACTTGAAATAGTTAGTCATCAAATGACTGCTTCGTGTAGAAATTGGGGAGGAAGAGGAGCTGTGCCAGTGAGTACCCATCACGGGTTCATCAGATGGGGTGCTGCTCAGCTGGCCCACTGTGAACAGGAGCCTGGGCAGGTTAAGTTCATGTTTATTTGAAATGGAAAACGGAACTTTAGAGGGAAAAGTGAATATCTCTCTTCTACTTTCTCAATCTTGAGAAACCACAACTAATGGTTTTTCTCTTAAGTTTTGTGGAAGTATTGAAATGATAGAAAAATGATCTCCTCTGAAGCTAGAGGAAGCAGCCCAGCATAGGAATTCCCCAAACACCGAGGCCCCGGGACCTCCAACAGCAAGAACTGTTTTTCAGAGTGTGCTGGCATGGTTTGAAATGCTGTATGAGGTACAGAACTTGGTTCTTACAGCTACATAGTGTGCCCTTATCCTCCCATGACCCAGGAGAAACTCAGCAGAAAGAGCATTGCATCTGCCTGCTGAGTGCCAGGTCTGGACTCTGTTCTACTGAATCCAAAATCCATGACGTTTCCTCTCTTACATGCTATAAGGCGTAAATGAAAGCATTCAGAATTTAGCAGAGCAACACACAGAGATAAAGCCTTTCCCCTTTGCCCTGCCTGGTGGGCAGGAAAGAGATGTCAGGAAGGAGGAGCAGGGAAGTAACCAAAGAAGCACACATTCCCCTAACTCGGTTTACTATAATTTAGGAGACAATATATCTAATAAAAATATAAAAGTTCCCTTTTCTGAATACTGTGTATGGAGCCGCAAGTAGATAAATACTCAGTCCATAGGCTTTGGAGACCATGGAGTTCACTTGGAAGCCCTGGAGCTTGGTTGGTTTGAAGACAAGTAGAATTTATACAGCTAGGAGGAGAAAAGAGGCAGGCTTGTACAAAATGAAGAAGGGCACAGAAGTGGCAAACAGATGTACGAGGGAAGTGTCAGGAATGCTCTGCTATGGTCCCTTCAGGCAGAAGGGAAGATGAGACCGCACGTCAGCCATGAGAAGGCTGACAGGGAAGTCACGCACGGCTTTGTATTGATACCGTGGTGGTTAAAGTGCTCAGCCATGATCATTGCCATCAGCCAGCTGGTCAAGTAGACGTTTCTTGGCTCTGTGAACATTTACACTGGTTTGTAACAAGAGCATGTCTAGAGGAGATTGCTCTTTATTTCAAGTCACCAATATATCTAAGAGTATCCCTTTGTCCTCTTCTCAGGGAGATGCTGGAGAAAATGGCCCCAAAGGTGATGCGGGAGAAAAGGTACAGTCTTTTGAAATGTGGAAGGGTGTGCGCTTGAGCAAGAATATTGCTGACTGTGTATGAAGTTGGAAGCTATGGAAGACAGGGTCAGAGAAATCTCCCAAGCTAGAAAACAGTTCAATATTTGTCTCATAAAAATCGATCGTTCCACATTCTATCCACAAATTTAAATATTCTGAGAGCAAAATGGTTTGCCAAATTTACTTATTTCTAGAGAATAAGAAAATTTCCAATGATAGGTTTCTCAAGCAATAAGCACACCAACTCACAGGCAGTGTGTCTTTACAGAGGCCTAGAAGGGGACGCCCTCAAGTGATTTGGTCCGTCCTGGTTTTAGAAGGAAGTTAGGTTGGTGAGCGAGGATAAAATTTAAAAGTTTGGTATCGAGTTAATAGCACTTGATTGCAGTGTTTATGTAGGGAACCCTGGGAACCACGGCCCTTGCATTCTGTCTTCTGCCCTCCTTGGTCTTTGGAACACTGATCAGCATTTATAGCGCATGTGTCCTGGTCTGTCTCTGAGTCCTCTCTTTTGTCTCGCCATTCTGTCATTATGGTGTTTGCCCAAGTTTGTATTTTTCCAGCCCTGACTCCATGAGACGGTGACATCAAAATGATATTCTCCTGCATCTGTGTAATGTGTTCAGATTTGGGAAGAAATCCCCCTTTAGAACCTGAAGATAGAACCAGAGCAGGTGGATGTTAGCGCAAACCAAGCGAGGGACCCGATGAATGGGAAGATAACTCACTCAGGCTGACAGTTGAGGGCGAAAATTATGACTGTATAGATGGATAATGGGTAGTCACAAAAACATGCTCATAAAATATACAGAAACTTATCTTTCTCAGTCTCATAAATATTAATATAAATATGGCAGAAAGGGTAGAAACAAATTAATGTCACTAAGTAGCACCTGTTTGTATTTGGGAAACAGTTTAAATTTAGGACAGAGTCTCAATTTCTTATAGACCAGGGTGTGCTGGCCTAAGCAATATTGACAGTGTGACCCAGATAACTCTTCACTGTGGTGTAGACAACAGAAACTTCATCTACACCATGGAGCTGGCCAGCAAGTCTATGCTCTATGAACTACTCTGACCATCCCTATTTCAGAACCTCTGCTGAAGCTGTATCTTTTTGTCTTCCAAATATCGAGCTGTCGTCAAACACAACATTGAAGTATCTAGTCAAATAAGACCGTGGATGCTCCTGACTGGTGTCAGATCAGGGTTTGAATCCCTGGGTATGTAAACCTGGATGATGGTTTATTTAGCGTACATCTTTTTCTCTAAAAGCAGAAATAAGAAAGCTTGTTTTATAAGTTAATATTTTGGGCTTTGTGGACCATGTAGTCTCTGGCACAACTTCATGATTCTGTTATTGTAGCAGAATTAAGCCACAGACAACACACACACACACACACACTAATTATCAGGAGGGCCGTGTTTAAAGAAAATTTTATTTCTGGGCAAGATGATTTTGATATTATGTCATCTGCCTGTATATATTATTGTCATTTTGATTTTTTTAACCATTTAAAAAATATAAAAACCATGCTTGGCCCACTCTTACAAATATCCAGCAAGATTTGAGGGCAGTGGCCAACTTTGCTTAAAACAAAGGAAATATTGTACACAGAAGGCAGCCTCTTCAAACAACAACAGAAACATATAAAATGGGAACTGTACCTATGTGAATTTAAATAGAGCATTTTATGCCTTAGAGGCTGTATTTTTTTATTTTTAACTTTGTTTTTGGAACATAGGCCAGCAATTGTTTCTTCACTCACATGGGTTTTGAAATTTCCTTTTGCAACAGTAAAATAATGTTTTCTTCCTTGAAAGGACCCAAGCGTCTCCTAGGAAGGTTGTTTCGGCTTCATACACAATGCAAATCAGTTGCCATACTGACTCACACGCCATAAACTCTCAATAAATGCTAACTTTTCCTACCATGTGGAAATTGAAATCAACGACATCGTTATTTTTCTTTTTATCAAAAAGTTTTATTGCTCAGCTGAAATTAAGCACAAGAAATGCCTCAGCGAGAGCGGAAATCGATTCTATAAACCTTCAATAGGCCTAAACAGGGGGCTGTAAATAGCAATCTGTAGCGTGTATAATATGTAATCTGACCCAAGGCATTCATCCCAAGAATGTAGTGATTGGAATATAATTTTTGATGTGTTTTTTAAACATTTCCTGCTCCTGTCATATAATTTGTTTCCAGCATGTTGGAAACACTCTTCTTGTGGCCTGTGTCGTCAGTATATGAAATTCATTCATCACTTTCCAACTTTGAGGGGTAAAGTAAAAAAAAAAAAAATTAAACTTCTTTTCTGCGATTGATGTAGTAAATTACGTCATTGGCTGATTCACTTTAATGGACTTTTTTTTTCCCCCTTTTGATCCAACTCAGCGCCTTCGGATGGTAAAGCAATTTTTACAGTCTGTGGCTTTCCAGGCTGGTCGTCTGGAAATGCTGGGAACTATAAAACCACTGACTGGGCCAGGGCTTCTCTGTGGCCAGCAAAACTGTACACTCAGTTTAAGAATAAACTGCCAAAGACTGATTTCAATCACATGGAAAGTTCCTATGGAAGCTTTGTATTCTAGTCTTTGGGGTGTTAATTCCGCCAACAAATGTTCAAATAGATTTCTTAGCCACTGCAAGTGGGTGTCTGTTAAACTCTCTGAATGGGTGGACCATACTGCTGTACCCCGTGTGGTGTTATTGGCTGAGCCAAGAGCTCCATCTTCATGCTATTGGCACAGATTGCCTATCCCTATGACCTCATTCCTATGCATGCCCTGCCTTCTCATTCGCCATCTTGAACTCAAGCATCTGGCCTTTCACCAGGCATGTCGTAGTTGCACTTACCAACCAAGCTGTCTTACAGACCGCACCTGGAGGACTGTGTCAGGGAACACTCGAGGGCAGTCAGTGCCTGGTCCTCTCCAAGGCTGCCCCAAGCCATTCTTTGTTTAGAAGCCTGCTTTCCTGCCTCCCCCTCCCAGTTCCACATCTTCATTTTCTGGCTTCGTTCAGTCTTCAATCTTTTGAAGTTTGGATTTACAAGTCATTTCCTAGGGAAGCTCTTTAGTCTCCCAACTGTTCTTCACTGTAATTTCTTTATTAACTGGACACAGCGCTCACTAGCAAACAAACAAACACACACAAACCCATAGGATACTGCCTAGTTTCATTCCTAGTTAGGACAATAAGATCCCCTGACCCCCCAAAAAAAAATCTCCTTATAAAAGTGAGGAAGAAGGGGTTTATTTGCCTTAGAATTTGAAATTATAGTCCACCATTGTGGGGAGGCCAAGTCATGAGGCAGCTGGCCACATTCCATGTGCACTCAAGAGCAGACAGCAATGAATTTGTGTGTGCACTTAGACTAGTTCAAGGCCTAGCCCATGAAACAGGCCCACACCCAGGGTGGGTCTTGCTACCTCAACCCAATTAAGAAAACCCTAGTGAATCTAAACCACTCCTCGTTGAAACTCCTTCCCCAGGTCATTCGATATTGTCAGGTTGACAAAACTAACGATAGCTTCACCCCTTGTCAATCTGACACCAAGCACATTGCTTTTAAGCTTTTATCTTCTATCCTTTGTCCCCAAAGTCAACCCAACAGCTGGATGGTGCCAATCTGTTCTAGTCCCAGCGCTAATCCAGGTTCTTAGAACGTTGTTACCAGATAATAAATACTGTTTGGAAAACCTTTTTTTATCTTGAACAACTTCATATTTTCACTGGATGGCAGGACATTTCTATAGCTTGCAATTGTTCCTTCTGTCTTTATTAACATCTTATTTAATTACTTGCTCAGTACTGCATTTGAAAACAATCACATACAAAACCAGTGTTTGACCAAAAGTGAAAAACAGTAAAGTCACCATGTCATGGCACACGCCTTTAATCCCAGCACTTGACAGAGGGAGAGGCAGATGGATCTCTCTGCATTCGAGACCAGCCTGATCTCCATCGTGAGACCCCTCTCTCAAGAAAAACCAAACAAAGAAATAAAACAGCAAAGCCACGTTCATTTATCTCACAGAACTTCTCCATCTGTGGCTTACTCCACTGACTGATAAAGGCAGGCATCTACATAAGCCATCCCTGGGAGGCTGTTTCCCACTTTAACCCTATAGTCTCTTACACTTTGGGGATAGGGTTATAAACATCCCCTGCTTGATTTCAGCTACTTGGAACATCATCCCTCCCAGAAGTTGCCTTGCTCTTAAAAGCTGTAGACATTCCTGGGGATTTCACAGTTCTGAATCTTTAAAGAGAGGATAAATGTATGAGGTGTCCATCAAATGAAGCCTCTCATATTCCCACAAATAAACCATGGTGGACCTTTCCCTCCCATCCACTTGCTCCGAGGACAAAACCTAGTCTTTAGTCACATACAGTAGACTACCCAAGCACTCTTATATAAACTACAAGCAGTTAACTAAGACCGTGGAGGTAATACAAGAACTACCTTTAATTTACCTGTCTTCTCTAGCCTCTTTAGGGCCCTTTGTCAAAATGATATAAGTCAATAATCCTTTTCTCAGTCTAATAGAAAGACCAGCTGAGGAAGCTCACACTTCGCTCCACTCGTAGCTGCCTCAGTTTCCTCTCCCTCTAAGTGGAAGTAGCGATGTCTTCCCTGCATGGGAGTTTAAGGCATAAATAACACAGATGGAGCTTTGCAAAGTCAAATTGCTTTTATGAATAGAAAGGTCATGCTATTCACAATATTGCACACCGGTGCGTTAATGTTAATGGCTCCCAGACTCAGTTTAGCAGAAATAGAAACAAGTATTATTTTCTTCCCCGCGTTGATTTCACCCCTCGTTTGGATCTCATTTGAATGTTAATGGTTGCGACAAGCAGGCTCATTCATGCAATATTTAGAGCCTGCTTCTTTGTTTAGCCACGTCTTAATTTTTCCTTGGGTAATAGCAATTACAGATGTCAAAGGGACTCGCATGTGCACTCCTTTCCTCAACACACTAAATTTACTATTTCCTCCTCTTCCTAAGCCCTTGGTTCCCCTTTCCTGGAGGCCTCTTTTCATTTTGATCCTTGACTACTGACCCGACTGAAAACATTGTTTTTCAGACGGTCATTCACTCGTTCACCATGTGTGTGTAAAGCATCTGCTGTGGTCAGGATGTGGAGTCTGCTCCCATGCACCTGTCTGTCTGCTAACAGGACAGACAGATATACAAGCAACGCCAACGGCAATCACAGCACAAGCTGTGCCAGACACAAATGAAGTATGCAGATACACAGTAGGGTGTACTCACAGCGGGTCACAATAGGGAGAATTGGTGAACGGTTCCGTGAGACAGAATCATGTAAAGCAAGACCTGAGGTATCATCATGGGAGGATGTGAGTGGAAATGAGGATAGGAGTCAGGTGCTGGTCAGTGCACAGGGGCCCGAGGCCTCTGTCTGTGTGTCTGTCTCTAAAAGAGATTGGTGAGCAGCTTCTGGACTCTAGAACAAGGGAACAGAGCCCTGGAGATACTTGAGTATTTGTAAACAGGACGGAGCTTAGGGACTCTCAACTCTAGCCTCCCTCCTTCAATTTTCTTGACAGTCACAAATGGCTAAGTCCCCTCCTTTTCTTAGTCCTTCCTGCATGTTCCTAGGTTGGAGAGGACTGGAATGAGGCTGAGAATCCAGGCCTTTTGCTGCCTCATTTACAAACAAGGAACAGTCTCACCTCTTCTCCGTGCTCCGGTCGGCATTGGTCCCATCGTTAGGATGGTGTGTTGCTAGGAGTGGAGCCATCCTCCATGAAATCTGGACGAACCCAGTCTTTTAAAAGGCCAAGTTCCCCCCTAATGGCCATCTCTTCCCCACCTCTATGTCAAAACTAACATCTTGTGACTTGCAGATAAAAATGTTTTGGAACCTATCAACTTAGCAGACCAGTGCCTTCTACCAGCCCCAGAGCTAAGACTGTGTCGTCAGGTAGCACCCGAGGTCTTGAGAACAGCTTCCCCCATCTTCCTGTAGCCACCAGTCCATTTTAAACTTGCCTTGATGGATGACTTTCTTTGCTCTGTAAAACTGTTAAGATTTCATGAAACTGTTTCCATGTTGAAACATGAAATTGGGGCTACCCAAATCTGTTCTCCTAGACCATGGTCACTCAAAGGAAAAACAACCTCTTAATCTCTTTAAAAAGTTAAAAGTCAGATTCTCTCTCAAGACTTTCTTAGCCCGTCCACGGCTTCCCATTGCCCAGAAGTCATTCATCACCCTGTGACTGAGTTACGGTACAATGAGGATAAAGCAGGAAAAGGCATGCTCCTGCTTCGTGATCTGCAGTGTGGTTTCTGCAACTCAACATCATTAACCTTTTGGCTTCATCTGTTGTCCCTTGACCTTCCAAAGACCAAGAAGGGCAGGAACTCCCTGTAAAGAGCCCGTGACGTTAATAAATCCCAGAAGCTAAAACTGAAAGTTTCAAATCCCTAAATTAAAATTCATTGTCTCAGAATATATTTTTAGCATCCTATTAAGGAAATATCTTCATGTTTCTATAGTTTTAGTTACTTCAAGAAATATAATCTTTTCATGGTTTGTATTCAAAGTAAACCCATGATTTGAGGCAAGGCATGGTTTCTCTTACATGATGTTATCATATAATGCCTGGGCCTATCGATGGACAAAGAACTGGGGGGGCACACTTAGGCCCCTTGGTCATACATCGATCCATGTGGGTAACAGTTGCCTAGGTGTTTGCATTGTTGTTTTGCTACTTATGGCATAATGTCTCCCGGGTTTCATTTTAGGGTGACCCAGGATCATCGGCTGCAGGAATTAAGGTAACTATAGCCTTGTGCATGTTTGTGCCCTGGGAATCATGGCTGTGACTTTATGAGCCCCCTTGTCTCTTCAGTTTAGTAGCAATGATGGTTGTAGCTCTGGTCCAGTTCTCTGACAACAGCTCCCAAACACAACAGGGAAATCCCGGGCAGTCTTAGTAGGAGGGCTTACTTTCTCTTCCATGTGTCCTTGGTTTCCAAGAAATATCTTTATATGTGAGTTCTAGACATACTCACAGCAGTTTCCTTATGTGTAGCGTGGCGGAGAATAAGAAAATGGTGCACACAAAATGTATGTAATCAAGTAGGCAGTTGGATCATTTCTGTAAAACTGCCAAAGGCCTAGCGGTTTTCTAGGTTTCTTCTAAGACTACCCTTTTCATCTTTGGTTTTCTTTGGCCAGGGAGAACCTGGAGAATCTGGTCGTCCAGGACAAAAGGTAATATCTCTTTGTCCTAGGTATGTCCTTTGTATCTCTCCATGATTGGTATTTCACGTCATTGTCATCTAACATGGAGACATTTGTCGCACCGTGGTACACTTCCCATGCTTTGCGCAGTGTTGCTGGTTGCTTTCCTTGTTAAAAGGCCTTTATTCCACGCACAGCCGTGTGAAAGCAAACACTGTCTATATGTACTCAGCTGTTCGAAACTAACAAATCTCAGCTCAACTGGAATGCCAGCTCGCTGCCATGCATGCTTAAATGTATTCTGTATTTTCTGCGTTCCATGAGAAGAAAATAAGTATATACTAAACAATCTCAATGGAGAATGATGGACAGTTTTTTTAAAAATATACCTCTACCTCCATTCATTTGCCAATGCTTTCCTGCTAACACGTGTCATGAATGTTGCCTTTAAACTAAATTTGTTTAAAGAACTAAATTTTAATTAGCGATGCTATACACACCACTTTCACTAACTGAGCTGCGGGTACATTAAATTATCATCTGTGCTTCTTCACTGAGAGCTTATGCTCATTTTTCATCTGGGTCTGAGGCAGGAAACAAATGTTAGCAGTTTCTCAACTGAGCACCAGGGCCTCAGTGCCCAGTACAGCCGAACCTTACATAACAGACGAACTGTAGTTAACAAGAAAATGTGAACTCCATAGGACAAATTCCTTAAAACTATGGCTTTTCCTTTGTCCTGTGGTAGCTGATGTTATATACAGAATATGAATTAGGACATAGAACATAGCTCATTATCAGAGAGAAAAAGATAATCAACCCTATTGCGGTAGTTTATAACCTAAAGTTGAGAGTTTACTGTATGGTTCGTGTTCTTGACATCATCGAGAGAATTTGTGTTTAAGCACCTGGGATAGAAGTAACTTCTGAGAAGGTTTGCATGTTCTTTTAACATTTCTCTGACTGAATGACTATTTTTCTCTTTTGACTGAGAATCTCAGAGAATTGATTCATCAGCTCTGCTGCAGGTGAGACGAGAGCCTAGCACAGCTCTTCCAGCTCCTCCTTTTCTGATCTGTCTCTTGGTCTTCAGGCTCCGAGTTTAACTCAAGAATTCATAGAACATATTTTAGATAAATAGTTTGCAGTAACTACCTTCTTCCTCTACTTCCCAGTTAATCTAGAGCAGCAGCCCTCCCAGCCTTTTGTCGGTAGCATATGTAGACATATGTCAGTCATACATACAACCAGTCATACATTACTCTTCGATGTGTCCCAGTGAAATAGTTCAAGTACCTTTTGGAAAGAAACCTCAGTGTTCTTTCTGTGGCTCCTCTCAGTGGTAGCAACTTCCCACAAATATGTCCAGCTTTTCCCCTCATGCTGATTTTCTTCTTTGAGAAAATAAAACTTGTCAGCATGAGTGATTTTTTTTCTCTCTATAGGATGAGCACTGACAAGATAAATATCTGAACCTTCTAGTTGTTCCTCTTCCCAGGCTTCATTACGGGCATCATAGCAGACAGCCCTCTCTGGCCTTTTAAGAAGAATTGTGCAATTACTAAAAACAAAAGATTCATCGTCTATTTTGAAAAAGCAACTGATCTTAGATGATGTGATTTTGGGGTCCCTAGTCTAAAAAAATTAAAGATTTTTCTTAAATTGCCCTCCAAATCTGTGATTTGCTAAAAGAAATATCAGTAGGACCAGGCTTGGTAGAATGTGCCTCTAACCCAGAACTCAAAGCTGCAGCTAAAAGACCTGGCATTCAACACCCACCTGCCTTACTTAACAAGAGTCAAAGGAAGGGAAAGGCTGGTGAGCACACACATGAATAAATAAATAGGCAGTCTTTTTTTTTTCAAAAGCAAAGGAGGGATTCACCTGTAAAGTGTCTCTAAAACACAAGCCAAATCAAATCTCAGTAAACTTGTGTAGGCCCAGTTTCGAAAGCACATGAACCAAATTGACCTTCAGTTGCTTAACATAAGATTGCATTATCATAATTATTTATAAAGATAACTTAGATTCATTATGGACATTTATAGCCTGAAGGCAGAAACACTGGATTTTCTTTACATTTTATCAGAAAGTAGACCTAAACGACATCAAAAGGAGCTTTCATCTGGACGAATACATGGCCCGGAACAAACAGCATCCTTATTTTTAATATTTAGTTCAGATTCTGCCCTCTGACACAATCCTGCCTTCCTACAGTTGTTTGACTTCCTTTGTCTAGCATCAGATTTTGATAATTCCCCAACATTGGAAACAGCATTTCCATGTTTGCTGCTTAGAGTCGAAAATGACAAACTGACCCAGGCTTACAGTCAGTGCTGGATGCCATCTAGTATCTTTGGCACCATTGTGGAGCTGTGGGTGGTGTTCAATGGCACACTAGTTCCTGGATTTAGGGGTGTTCCCAGAAAAGGGATACAGTAACGGGGGATTCATTTTATCACTCGTTCTCTGTGGCTTCAGCAGTAGAGTTACATGGAGGCTTGTAGGGACACTATAGACTTGGAAAGTGTGAATTGTGTTTCACTACATAGTTCTTGCCTTTCCAACCTTTCCCTAGCTCTTAAAGTATACATTCTAACATTGTCACTTGATTCCCCATCAGAAGGGACCCTTGCCAATGAGCTCTGTAGATACCCAGGACACTCTAACAGAGTCCCAGGAGTAAGGCTTTCTCAGACCAGAGAATAGAGAGTTAAAAGGAAAAATAATGAAATCAGATATATAATGTAACTGTAAAGTTGAAACTCTTGAACAAGAACCATTTGAATAAAATAACAAGCTGACTCTTAATTGTGACTCATATCTAACACATTAACTTTGCTACCGAGGCTCCTGAGCCATGGCATAGACAAGGATTGCCAAGTTAACTAAAATCTTTCTCTTAGTTGGAAGGCAAGCTTTCTACAACATAAAGATAAAGAATTCTGCAGAAAGAAATGTCTTACTAAAATTGTGAAGGGGTGTTTTATAGGGGAGCACTAATAATATTACCATCTCTCATTATGTTAGCTAAGAGCAGAAAGTAAATACAAATTTGGAAAAGTAAAAGTCACAAACCATTCAACACTATAAAATATGAATATTTTAGATATTTAAATCATACATTCATGACCAGCACATGTAGACATACACATATACACACATGATGCATTTAACATTTCATTATCTTATATGTTATCCTGTAATGTCTTCTTAATATTTTTCTCATTAGAAAACATTGTATGTTTTAATCATGCATACATGTGCATATCAATTATTTCTTTAAAGTATCTATGTGGTCCTTTTATGTTGGTAGAGAATTGAGTGGTAAGAATTCTTAATGGAAACTCATTTATTTATTTTCACACGTGTTTCAGATGAAATATCATCATAAGAGTTGGGGGAGACTTTAAAAAAAAACAATCCCAAGTGTTATTGGTTTGCTATTATAATGCAATTGTATTTTCAAAAACTTTATACTATTTTTAAGCAAAAGGTAACCTTCAGTAAAATATGGATTAAATCCTTTTCTATTAGGTCCTCTTAATGTTACTGATTAAATGGTAAAAGAGAAAACACAAAGGAAAGGCAATGTATGGTATTGTAACCCTGTGAAGTTTAATATACCTTGGCACCTGGTCTTGGGGTGGAATAACAAGCAAGTTAGCATTCCTTTCTCCTCTAATGCGATTTCGTTGTAGTCATGTTTATAATGCACACTTCTGCACAGAATGCCTTTTCTTTTGCATTCCTGAAGCACCTTTGACAAGCAGCCAGGGAGCCATTGCCTCCCCACTTTGTCTAATCACTCAGCTTGAAATAATGTCTAAAGGCTTAATGATATAATAGCAGAAGAAATTCTAGCCCTTGGTAATCAGAAAGGGCAGATAGTGGAGATGGAAGATCCACTGGTTGTCAGTAGGTGTTCCTTGGGTTAAGGCTTATTCAAGGGCCCGCAGAATGGCTCAGCAGTCAAAGTGCTTTGCTCCACAACACTTACAACCTGCACTTGATCCCCAGAAGTCACACAGACATGGAAAAAGAGAACCACACCCACAAAGATGTTCTTCACACAGGAGCTGTGGTAGGCATGCACACATGCACAGTGGTGATAAAATAAATAAAAATTAAAGATGATGGAAGCATTTAGGCTACAGAATGTGCCTCCCCTCCCACCGTCCTGGTACCGCTCCCTCTGGGGAAATGGTTGGCATCTCCGTGACTGACCATCACAACACCCTATGACTGTATCACCTTCTGTGCCGCTTCCACCGAGAACAGGCAACACTTCATGGCAAACATATTTGCTCCTGATTCCGTTATTGTTTTGTAGTAGACTTGAAGAGAATTTCTAAGCAATGCAATCTCTTGTGCTTAAAATAACATAGACAATTCTGTGAAAATGAGAGGGTTTAGCCTGTCTCCAGCGTGCCTACCCAAGGCATACTTAATCTCTGACCTGTGTTCAGGAACAGCTGTGCGGTACCATTAGCCCAACACTGCTAAGCAAGGTCACCCTAACCCAACAATTGTTAGGAACACAGCCTGGACTGAAGCATATTCTTAACCATTTATTTATCTTCTCATCCTTCAGGAATGAAAAGGAAATCTTACTATGCTTTTAAGTGAGCAACACGCTTAACGTGTATGCTTTCCTGGGGCCATCTGTTCATGAGAGTCTCTTGATTATCTAAGCAGGGAGGGCTCTGGGAGAAGACACGTTACTGAAGCAAGCAGCTCCAGCAAATCCTTGGCCAAAGGAGTCACAAATGCAGTCTTTCCTCCCATACTACTCTCTCACGCCATCTGATAGAGATGCCAGTAGGCAGCAAACGGCAGGAAAAGGCCAGTGTCTTAAGAAATCTGCCAAGTGGTCAGACAGTTCCGGAATGGAGAGTTGACCGAGTGGAGTGGTCTCAGCAGACCCATTTCCCCTCCACAGTCTGCTGTCCTATTTCTCTTTGCAGAAACTGTTCGGCGGGGACATTTGCCATGTTTTTCTCTGACCCTGTGACTGAGTGCATGTTGCTCTGTAATGCATTGTGATTTTCCTATGTAGGGTGAGCCAGGGCTGCCTGGACTACCTGGACTCCCGGGGATCAAGGTAAATACTCCACTGACCAACTTCATGGAACTATGAGTATCCCGCATTGGAGGAAAATGGGGGGGGAAGTGAACACTGGTCATTAACTATTCTGAATTTTTCTCAATTGATTAGTTCATTTTTTAAATTCAAATTGCACATGGGTGTTTAAAGTTGGTCATTGCCATCCAGGTTGTATAGCTCACTGTTGTCCTTTATCATGCCCCTTAGACAAAACTAAATGGCGTTTCAAGTAAAATCATACAAAATTTTTAAAAGTCTAGAAAGAATGTTTCTTTAGCTTTAACTTTTGACCTCATTCCTAAGGTCCTATCAAATTTTGACCAGAATTCATTTTAGCATGCCTGTAAATCACACACACTTGGGCAACCATGTTTGTGGTTCACCATTATCATAGCCCCTCAAAGACTCCATGCCTCCCCTTCCTGTCAGTCAGTCCCACTGAAAAACTAAAACCACATTGCTAAAATGTTCTGACCTACCACAAACCCTTTCCACACAAACTCTGTATGCACCTTTTGAAATAATTGCTTACGGTTTAGGATTAAAACATTATTTTAAGATTTAAAGATTCTTAAGCCACTTAAATGGGTTTTGTTTGAAAAAAAGACTTTTCCCATAACAGCAACAAGACTTAATGCTCTATTATCTTAGCTATAGTTATTCCTTGAGAATAAACTTTATATATATCCCAGAAGAAACAGGATAGCAATCAAGTATATCTTCTGTTCTAAAAATAGTGCTCATACTTTAGTCCTGCATGCTACTTTATAATGTGTTAACTGAAGTTAGTATGATTCTACAATGTTAAATGCCTATGGTGCTTATAATATTATATAGGTCATCAATACACACAGAAAAACCATGTCTTATAGGTCAGCAGTCAGAAACTCTGGTTCTAATATTTGTTGGCTCTTTCTAGATTACTATAAAAAGTTAAGATTGCTTTTAATACATGCTTTGGCTCTTTGGTAGACAGTACACTCTAAAACATATTTGTTGAGGAGTCAGATTCTCTTACCTATCATTTGCTGCTTAGCGAGAATGACATCCTAGTGCATATTACGGGGTTAATTTATGACAGCTCTTTAGTAACTTCCAAGCACAAAAATGACAGCGTTTTATAAATGACAAGATCATAGACTTTTCAGTGATTTAAGGACATGTTGCTGGGTGTTAATGAGAACCTGGTGGCATTACAAGTCATAATGAAGATGTTTGAGACAAAGGACATTGGAAGGACACGAAAGTCCCTACAGCAAGAACTCAAGCAAGCTTTTCAGGGTGGAGGCTCAGCTCAGGAGAGCCTCAGTGCTCTGAAACTGACTTGTCCCTTCTCCTGAGCTTTAGACACTCTCTTGATGAAAAGGAAGAAGACTGAAAGCATTATTTTCCCCAAGTGCAATACAGATAAATACACACATAGACATTAAATGCTTTCGGGAGCTACTGTATTTGTGACCCTGGTCTTACTTAAGTGTTGTATATCTCTGATGACTCTATGTCATTACTGACTCTTGGCCTTTTCCTATGATGACCTATTCAGAAGGTCATGAGTTCTCAGGTTGGGAGGGTTAATTGTAAGTCACCACCTCTAGGAAATGCTTAAGTTCCCACAGCCTGAGAAGTGCTAGAAATCCTTTGTTGAGGTGGTGGGGCTCTGGTACTGCCTTTCTGTGCCTGACTAGTGACTGAGCTGAGAAACTGCCAGTTGATAAAAATCCTTCATCATTCACTAGAGATGTTTCTCTAGGTCATCTCGGTGCCATGCTTGGGTCACCATCTGGGGCTGAAGACAAAAGCATGAGCTCTGGTTATAGTGTAATAAGTTTTGTCTTCTCACTTGAATTCAAATGAAAGATAAGCTTCCCTTACACTATAATAAGTGCTAATAATAAATAAATAATAATCAGTAAATAATTTGGGGAAAACAATTTAAGACCACTTTAAGGTATTCATTTTATATTAATAAATATAGACCTAAAATTTTATAATATTTGATGGCCCTATATTGACTTGAGACGCTCCTTACCCATTTAATTTGCTTCGTTTCTGCTAAGGTGGCAAATGACAGGATGGGTTGGTTCTCATTTCATAGTTTAAGTTGCAGCCAGGATTTAAAAATTGAAACCCTTCTGTGTGACCTACAGGACGTGAGGTACCCGAAAGCATCAGTCATGATCTTAGCCTCTGTGTATGTTTATGCTTTGGAGGTATTTCCTGTTGCTCCTCGTGTCCTTCTTATCTGCCACGACCGCAGAGCGTGTGCACATGCCGGCCATTATGTCTAGGACACGGAGGAAAGCAGTCATTACATACCAGAGAAGCTTTGCTTTGCCACCTGTTGCTCTTGGGGAACAGTTGGAAACTTAATGAGCACCCCCACATGCCTTCCCTGGCTCTCAGGAAATGAACCAAGTGCCTAAACCCTGACAGCGGACTCATCTGTCTCTCACCTGAGCGGCCCACTCTGAGGACGGTGCTATTACTGTAGGCATGCATAGGGGAAGTGGCTGAGACCGGGCCTGACTTCATCTCAAGCTGCTCTTAGGCTTCCTGCACTATTTGAAAGTCCTCTTGCCATGTGGAAGGCATTTGGAATTCCTATTTCATGCATTCATGGTTCATATAGTGTCAAGATGTTCAGCTGGGAAAATTAAATTATGTACAATGTACCATGCAGAAGTTGATCTTCTGGAGTAAGATTTGAGCTTAGAAAATTATTTTATGAACAAGCTTTCAAAAAGGTTAAGTCTTCTTTTCCCTTCAAGTATCTTAGAGGATAGTAAGCATTGTGCCCTACCTTTTCTGATATCAGATAAAAACAGAAAATTCTAGGTTATTATTTTTGAAAATCTTATTCTAGATACCTACTTTGAAAAATATACATATATTGTTGACCCATTCTTGTGGTTCTATTTCCCTCATAAATAAGCAGTTTTGACCAACGACCCTAGAACAAACCAAACCATAGCTTTGCTGGTCCTGTGACCCAGGGCAAGATTTGGAATCTGTCTGTGCTTTGGTTTTCTCATGAGAACCAACAGTGACCAGAGCCCAGAGTTCTACTGTGAGACTGAAATGAACAAATGTGTTCATAGCTCTTGAAACTTCCCCCAGCGTATAGCGAATGACTGCTGTCACTGCTTCTCGTGGGTCAGCTCAGAATACTGGAAGCTTCGCTTATGTACCCGCTCAAGGTAGTCTTTCCTCGTGTAAGTAATCTTAACCTGCAGAAAATACATTGAGCCGTGCTTTACATAGATACAAATTATGGATCCCTCTTTAAAGGGATGAATGAATAAGATTGTTAAAAGCAATAAGGGCACCCACTTTCCCTACTTCCTGAGTGTATTCCAAGAGTAAAAGGCAAGGGTGCACATAGCTTGAAGGTGAGAGAAGCCGTGTGAGCCTTCTTCTTCCTTACTGTTCATGGGGAAAGACAGAAGACAACTTGACACATCCCATAGTGATGTCTGTCCTTCCAGGCCTGGGTTACTTCACTCAGAATAAGGTTTCCTGTTCCAGCCATATATCTGAGAATTTCATAATTTTTTAAAATATTTATTTATTATTACACAGTGTTCAGTCTGCAAGCCAGAAGAGGGAGCCAGATCAGATGGTTGTGAGCCATATGGTTGCTGGGAATTGAACCCAGGGCCTCTGGAAGAGCAGTTAGTGCTCTTAACCTCTGAGCCATCTCTCCAGCCCCGTAAATTTTTTTTATGACTGAATAATTTTCCACTGTGTTGATGGACCACATTACTGTTATCCGTCATCTCTTAATGGACATCTAGACTGTGTCTAGACTGTTCTAGCTCTTGTGGATGGAGAAGCAGGGAACATGGATGAGCAAGCATCTCCATAGTGGTCCTTTGGATAAATGCCTAAAACTGGTACAGCTGCATCATGTAGTAAATTTGCTTCCAGCTTTTTGACTTCCACAGTGGCTGCATCCGTTTGTGTTCCCACCAACAGTGAGTCAATGTCTCCCCTTCCCTATGTCCATGCCAACATTTGTCACCATTTGTTTTCCTTTTATCTTGTCCATTCTGACTAGGGTAAGATGAAATCTCAAAGTCGTTTTAATTTGTATTTTTACATAGCTAAGGATGTTGAACAGCTTCAAAACTTAAGTCTCCTATTTATCTTTCTTCTTTTGAGAATTCTGTATAGTTCCATGCAATTGGGTTGTTTGTTCTCTTGATGTTCAGGGGTTCTGTTTTAGTTCTTTGTATGTTATAGATACTAACCATCTGATAGATGTACAGGTGGTCAGGATTTTTCCTCATTCTTTAGGCTGCCTCTTTTAAATAATGGTATCTCTTGTCATAAAGTTGCTTTTGAGTTTTATGTGGTCCCATGTTGCCTGTTGGTCTTAATGCCTGCACCATTAGCATCATGTTGAGAAATTCCTTTTTTGTGACTACTGTCTACAGGGTATCACATTTTATCCTGGAGTTCTTGATCCATTTGGAGTTTAGTTTTCTGAGAATGAGAAATAAGAATTGAGTCTCATTCTTCTATGTCTTGCTGTCCAGTCTGAGTGGCAGTGTTTGCCCATCTGTTGAAAATGTCTCTTCTGCAATGTGTATTATTGGCCTCTTAGTCAAAAAAAAAAAGTAGGAGTCTGGGTTTATCTGTGGGTCCTCAATTCTATTCCATTAATCAATATGTTTGTTTTGATGACAATACCATGCTGTTTATATGACTGTAACTCTATAGTAAAACTTCAAATCCGGGGTGCTGATATAGCAGCAGTATTTTTTAATTGTTTCATTTTTTTTTATTTGACTATCCTGGATCTTTTATATTTCCATATGAAATTTAAGATGTTTTTCAGTATCTATAAGGAATTACATTGGAATTTTGCTGCGCGTTTCATTGAGTCTGTAGATTGCTTTTTGTAGGAGTTTGATAATATTAACCCAACCAATCCATGGGTGTGGAAGGCCTTTCCATCTTCTGGTATCTTCTTCTATTTCTTTTTCAGGGTCTTA